TGGTCCTCTGCGCGCAGGGACTTAACTAATATGTCATCAATATAAACTTCCATTGATATTCCTATTTATTCTTCGAACATTTTATTTACTAGGCGTTGGTAAGTAGCCCCTGCGTTTTTTAGCCCGAAGGGCATCACATTATAACAATATGTTCCATATTTGGTGACAAATGAAGTCTTTTCCTGGTCCTCCGGGTTCATCTGGATTTGATTATACCCGGAATAGGCATCGAGAAAAGTGAGGATCTCGTGGTCGGCCGTGGCATCGATCATGCGATCGATGTTGGGCAGCGAAAAGGAATCTTTGGGGCATGCTTTGTTCAAATCCTTATAGTCCACACACATTCTAAGTTTGTTCCCTTTTTTAGGGACTACAACTACGTTGGCTAGCCATTCGGGATATTTCACCTCCCGAATGGACCCTACTTTGAGAAGCTTGGTTACCTCGTCCTTTATGAATGCGTGCTTTCTCTCGGACTGAGGTCTTCTCTTTTGCTTCACCGGTCTGAACCTGGGGTCCAAACTTAGCCGATGCGTTGTTATGTCCGGCGGGATCCCTGTTATATCTAAATGAGACCAGGCAAAACAATCGATGTTATCGATAAGAAATTGAACGAGTTTCTTCCTGAGTTCGGGGCTCAACCCCGTTCCCAAGTATACCTTTCGCTCGGGCCAGTGCTCGATTAATATGACTTGCTCTAGCTCCTCGATTGTTGATTTGGTGGCGTCGGAGTCATCGGGAAATACGAAAGATCGAGAGACCCTTTGATCATCATCCTCTTTGATTTTTTGGTTGTCTGGCTGGGTCGAAGCCGATGTCTGTGATTGCTATTTGGTGTCCCGTTCTCCTTCTGGGCCCGATCCTTTTATCGGCGAAAGTGAGGACATTGGTTTAGCTTCGTCGACGACAAATATTTCCTTTGCGGCTGGCTGTTCTCCGTACACCATTTTGACACCTCCCGATGTCAGAAATTTTAGGGCATGGTGTAGGGTCGAAGGTACGGCTCTCATGTTGTGGATCCATGGCCTTTCGAAAAGGGCGTTATATCTCATATCGCCTTCGATCANACATGCTTTGTTCAAATTCTTATAGTCCACACACATTCTAAGTTTATTCCCTTTTTTAGGGACTACAACTACGTTGGCTAGCCATTCGGGATATTTCACCCTCCGAATGGACCCTACTTTGAGAAGCTTGGTTACCTCGCCCTTTATGAATGCGTGCTTTCTCTCAGACTGAGGTCTTCTCTTTTGCTTCACCGGTCTGAACCTGGGGTCCAAACTTAGCCGATGCGTTGTTATGTCCGGCGGGATCCCTGTTATATCTAAATGAGACCAGGCAAAACAATCGATGTTATCGATAAGAAATTGAACGAGTTTCTTCCTGAGTTCGGGGCTCAACCCCGTTCCCAAGTATACCTTTCGCTCGGGC